AGGAAGAAAAGAAATAAAGAAAATAGTTTAGTTGAAAGCCTCACTTCATTGCTTTTGCTCAACAGAGGAGTTTTGATACCATTAACCTTTCTGTATTATGCAATTAAGGAGTTGGAGGAGCTGCGTTCGATGTGGAGGCTTCAGTTTTAGTCAAGAAAAAGCTGCTTTAATGCTCTGGTTAAAACAATATTGGAAAGTGTTTGGGATAAAATCAGTTAGTTCAGAGACGTGTTTTTCACAGGCCGTCTGAACCTGGAGGCAGCGTTCAGGGTGAGGCGCTGGGGACAGGGTGAGCAGTGCCAGCGCACAGTAAGGCTGTTCCTAATGTCTTTACGAAGAAATGTAAAAAGCTAAAATCTGTTCCCTGTCCACTGCGCACAGAATGAGCTTTAATGGCAGAGAAGATGGGCTTAGACATGAAGAAAAGAAGTATTGTTAAATCCTCATAGCCACTGTTTCTCTGAGGCTGGTAAACACTCTTAAAGCAATGACAAGAGTTCCTGTCTTTGAGCATTGATTCCAGTGCACTGGTTGTTTGACATCGGTGTCAAAGACACTTGAAACTTGATCAAATTTACTCAACTTCTTAAAGAGCCTGAGCTGTTGGGCATCTTCTAACAGATTCTTTCTCATGTGAAGTGTTCAGTGCGGTTTGAATGATAACTTCTGCTTTCACGGACCTCTCATGGGTAGATCACAAGAGAAAGCCTCCAAAATAAGGTCCTTGTGGGACTAGGATGAAGATGTGGGTGAAATTAAATGTTCAGGGAAAGGCTGTTCTAGAAATTCCCAGTCTCCAGGCCAGGGATACAGGTGAAGAGCCTGGTCCTCACCCAACCTTGCTGCCTCAGCATCCTGAGCTGGAAGCTCAGTTCATCTCTTTCTCTAAGTGACTCCAGGACTAAAAAGATGCTCAATGTAAAACAGGTACCAAATTCCCGTCAGTGAGCGTTGATTATTGATTGTACTGAAACAGTTCCTACATGGCCACTTAGTCATTCCACAGCCTCAGATTTCACATAACGTGTTGCCATATTCAGGAAGCTGAATATTTAATCAAGTGATTCATATCTCCTGGTGATGGCAGCAAGAAAGGGGAGGAGGGGGGAAGTGGACATACAGAGGCTTGAGGAGTTTTTCAGATTACTAATAGACTTGGTTAAAAAAGAGAAAAAGAGAAGTCTGGAATACTGGCGACTGCAGAGGGAGGGGTCTGGAATAGAAGGGCTTTTATTTACATCTCTTACTGGGCTGTTAGAAATTCAATCATTTATTGAGCTAATGGTAGGTGCTGAAAATTCCGGGCACATAATGTAGTACAGAAGTGTGCTGGGGAATGCAGAAGGAGTGTCGGCATCTTTAACGAGCTCTGTGCATTTCTAGGTCTCTGTAATGTGGCTCCTCCTTCTTCTTGAAGCCAGCAAGACAGCGTCGGGCTTATAAATTAAAATCCTGTGACCTTGAGAAGTTGGCAGTGGAGACACTGTGTGCTCTGTGTCACGGCACAGTCAGCATCCTCTCCGAGAGCTTGTCGCAGCCGTTGTCGTCATCTGCCTCTTTGTCTTGTGCTGCTGGGGTTTGGCAGTGCTACCTGGGGCTGCCTGGCGCTATCCCCACGCCAGAGAGCCCGTAGCTCCTGCAGGAGGCTTGGGGGTTCCTCTGGGTTTGGTGGTTGCTGTTGGACTCTTGCCTGCTGAGCATCCATCCCCTTTCATTTGGGATTCATTGACAGCAGCCCAGGGCATTTGCATTCAAAGGCCACGCAGCTGCTTCAGTTCAGTCTGTTTTATCTGTAATTAAGTATTGCGTTATCAATTAACCATTAATACTTCTTCATCATTATTTTAAAGCTGTGGGAGCCTTATGGTGAAAAGCTGGTAGTTAACTGCAGGTGAGCATGATGTTTTCTGTTAAATACCCAGCTCTAGTCGTGTTACTTCTTCTCATAGAATCATAGGCTGGTTTGGGTTGGAAAGGACCTTAAAGCTCATCCAGCTCCAACCCCCTGCAATGGGTAGGGACACCTTCCACTAGAGCAGGTTGCTCCAAGCCCCATCCAACCTGGCGTTCACAGATTAAATATTCCTTTTCCACTGTATAGAGATTTTCTGTCTTGGGGTATATGAGAGGGCTTGGGGCTCAGTGCAGAGATAGAGCCTGAAGTTACAGCTTTGCAAGCAGTTAAGCTAATTAAACAGTAAGGCCTTTATTCTCCTGAAGTAATTCTATTAACTGGAATCAACTAAAAACCCAAACTGTTCCAAACCCCACATGCTGCATGGTCTATTTCCATGTGCTTATTCCAGTGATTTCATTCAGGTCCCTGCCACTTGCAAAGCTGCTCTGCTGCTGGGACCTCTTGATTTAGCCTCGGGGTGTGAAAAAGAAGGCAGCTTCTTTCTCTTTGCTATCACTGTTGGTGTGTCTTGGCTGGTCCTTCAATGCAAAAGTCTCTGTTGGGTGCTGATGACCAGCAGGAGCTGGGATCTAAACTAGCTCCAAGTACCACAACCTGCAACCTGGTGTTAACAATGAGCTGCTTAACTTCAGAAATAAAAGGGATAGGAAGATAGAAGGGAGAGAAAGGGGAGTGTGTTAGACTAGAGCCATGGCGACTACGGTGGGTTTGTGCGCTGAGAGTTTGAGCAGTGGTGTCTGTGGAATCGAGGACCTGGTAGGGATTTCGTGGCTAATTTAGTCCTTTCAAAAAGCTGACAGTGTCTTAAGCCAATGACATATGGTGCTGATGAAGGTTGCCATGCAGGAAATTCGGGGAACCATTTTCCTTCACCCTAAATCTTCTCTATTTCTTTATAACGGTGCAGGGTGGGTGCAGAGCACTATGGTTGTGATTGATTATTTTACTCCTGCTTTTGCCTTCGGTAATTATTTCTGCTATTGCAAAGGTAGCAAGTTGTGCAATCCATTAATTTTTCTAATTGATTTTCAACGTGTTAATTGCCTCAGCTGGTGAGATTCAGGTGCTTTGTGTATGCAGGATCCTTGGAAGTTAATATTGGACTGTTCATGTACCTAAAATGAAGTGTGTGTGTGTAAGCAGATTACTGCAGGCTACTCGATCCTCTTCTCAAAAGGATACGTATATTTTAAATAAGCAGTGGAATTGAGGACAGAAGAGTCAAATTCTGCCTTATTCAGGCACGTTAATTTTATTGTTTTCTAGTTTTTATATCAGGCAGTTGAATTTCTGGGTCTCCACAGTTAATAAAGTAAAATTTGCCTCTGCATACCTAAAGATTATTTATGAGAAGTTTGCCTATTGATTCAGACTGAATAATGAAATAACCTTTGGGGGTAAGAGTATTAAGTTGTCATAACAACCAGCCATAGTAACGTTCTCAGAATTGGTTTTAGGCATCCCATGTTTGATCTCGGCCCAAAACATGTTTGTTTGAAGTTAGTCATTTGAAAAAGTTTCGCATTAAATTGGTTCAGCTGTCTTTGAGTTATCCAACGGTGGCGGGATGCCACATGGAATCTAGTTTTACACCACCTTGTATTTCAGAAGGCTCTGCCAAATTGAGATGAAGATAATCAATAGAGGAACGAGCAGGAAGTCTTCAACAATTTTATAATGTGAAGAATGTTCTCAGTCAGGTTTCATCTTGTGGCTGAATTCCGCAGAATCACAGCACAAGGTTTAAAGCTGTACTGTAGGTGGCAGAGATGCATTAGTTATGCTGCGTAACCATCCCCACTGTCATTAACAAGCAGAGCAGGATGACGTTGTGGTTCATCTACATTAATCAATACGCTGCTGAGCACCATCCTGCCTCCCTGCTGATTGCCTTAGCAAAAGGCAAGTTCACCTTTGGAGGTGGTAGTTGAGCAGAGGACTTGTGAAATATTTCTGTGGCTGTCCATCCATTCTGCTATTGAAAATGTGTGGTAATAAAACCTGCAGTATCCTTCTGAATGGGAATACAGCTCCAGGATTCTCTTCATCTAAAGAAGCAGACGTATTGGGATGCCAATATTTTAAATTAAGCGACAATCTGTCATTAAAACCTGGACTGGGCTTTCATTAACAATAATAGGATTCCATAATAGCTTTTGTCATGGCAGTGTTGTTCCCCTCACTGTGGTTAATGTGACCATTACAGACCTCAATTCAGAAGTGCTGTGCCTTAGGTAAACATCGTTCGGACTAAGCCTTGGCATGCGACAGCTCAGCCAAGACTTATGAGCTGGAGTTTAATAAAGCAAACAGCATAATACGTTCTCTTAAAAGAAAGGTATGAAGAGGTACGAAGGAAACAGTTGTTGAAGGACTGCTAATGGGCTGTGGGGCTTTTTACCTCATGTTTGATGGCTGTAATCTTCTCCACGTTGGGATAGATCATACATCATTGCTTCTTGCTGGCTGTTTCCAGTAGAAGAAATCTGTTCTTTCAGTCCTTTCTCAGTTAAAATAAACTTTTTTGAGCAAGGTTAACCAGATACCAAGATGAGGAACTGAGTGAGCTTCAGAGTCAGGCTCATCTTGCATACTTTGGGTGTAGCAGGTCCCCTGTGATGATTTTATGTTACTTCAGTATGATACCAATAAGATACAAAAGATGTTGGAGCTAGGAGGCTCTGTTACTCTGGGGGAACACGCAGAACTCCTCTAGTCCAGAGCTGTCCTGCACCTTCCACTCCTTTCTTGTGCTGCAGGAGAGGGCTGGAGCCTACAGCTGGACCTGTTCCATGTGTCTGGTACCACAGACCTTGAGTGCCCAACTCAGCCCCCCAACTCCCTTGCCTCAGCAGGGAGGAATGGAAACCCCAGTAATTACAAATGTGTAACTGGCAGATGGGAAGACAAGCAAAGGAATGGGAAGGAAACAGCCGTGGGGTGTGTGGGGTGTGTTCTTCGAGCACATGGTTCTCGTTCAGGATTTCCTGCATTCAGTAGCAGGAGGATTACCTGGAGGAGAGGTATTTGGGGTGTAATTCTCAATCATAATGTTTGGCTGTTGTTGCTTGCTTTCTTGCAGGTTTACTGGGATGAATTTGCCTCCCCCTGTTATCAGTAGTAAAAATTGGCTGCGGCTTCACTTCACATCGGACGGCAACCACAGGCAGAAGGGGTTCAGCGCCCAGTATCAAGGTAAATGCTCACTGCCCGCTCTCGCTGTTCACAGGGTATGTTTAACCAAACTTTATTCCCCTGGGAATCTCCAGCTAACTTCCTGCATGATCCCTTTGTACACTGGTTCCATTCCTTTTCCAGCTGGGTATCCAGGCTTTGTTGTGACAGGAGCTACTGTTGGCAGTACACACACTTGAGAGCCACAGGAATATTCATTTTCACCGTGTACTTTGTTGGTAGAGATGTTCCTTTACGTGCAGGTTGTGGAAGGCTCTCTGTGGGATATGTGATACAGATGAGGTGCCACCAGCGAGGGGCTGTCTAGAGTCCCACAGAGACTGCATCTACATGCTGCTCAGGTCAGGGGGAACTGAGCCTGTGAATGAGGTATAAACTGTTCTGCATTTACTGGTCATCCCTAAAGGATGGATTTCAGGATTAGGATCTTAAGATGCTGTTGAAGGAGAAAGATGCTTTGGCACATGAGTCAAGCAGAGAGAAGATCTGGTTGTGTTCTGAGGTTTGTAGGCGACCATGGCCAAGCACACATTAGTGCAGCCTGTCTGGGACCAAATGATCACCAAAACAGGGGATTAGTGGATTCCTTCAACAGCTGACACCATCCTTTCTGAGGACTCAGAAGGGCTTTGTGAGTGTAGCGCTGCTTTGGGCAGGATCAGGGAGAGGCAAAACAAAGCAGGGAAGGAGCAGGAATAACACCCAGTTCCGTGTCCACCTTCCAGGGGTCTGTGTCAGTGCAGTTCAGCTTTCCTCAAAAGGAAGAAATAGGACTTTGGTGAGAAGTGCCATAGCCATAGACTGGGATGTTAAAGGAATAAAGTGGAAGAGAGAGGAGTTTCCTTTGCTAAATCTCCAAACCTGCCCTGTGTGTTCGTTCCCTGCTTTTAGGCTTAGCAATGTTGTTGTGGCCTCACCGTGGGCTTTACTTTATGAATCACTGTTGCTATTTAATGTTCCTTGCTTTCCTTTAACGTATAAACTGCTTGAAATTGTAAGGAAAACCCCATTGGTTTTGCTGTGTAACAAATGACTCTTTGCAGCCGATGGCTTTTGATGTGACATTTTCCTTTGCTGTCATCGTTGCTGCTTTCTATTAAAACACCTGCCTGAATCATACTTTCTTCTGAAATGGAACAGTAAAGATTAATGTTACAATTTCCTCTGATTAGGTAAATGCCAGAGGGTTCTAATCTAGCACACTCCTTGGAAGCTGGTTTGTTAGTAATGAACTGTGCTGCTGTGTTTTGAGCATTGAAAAGATGTGCTTGAAAATGTGCTCTTGAAATGGCATTGACTAGCCTCTGCCTTGCTGGTGAAGGGACTCTGACACTCAGATCTCCACACATGTGCTGGGTTTTGTGGAGTTTGTTGCTTTATGTTAGGGAAGATTTCAATACTTAAAAACAAAACAAGAAGCAAACCAGGTATAAAGGCAGGATATTTGCAGTCAGGGATGCTGTGCCTGTAGAACATTAGAGATGCCAATGCCACTTCAAAACATTACATCCCTTTCATAGGAACGTGACCTTGCTTGAACATAAATATTTTAATGGAGATAAATGCATACAAAATAGGGTATGTAGTGCCACAGGACGTAGAGCAACTAAAATGCATTGCAGCCGTAGCACTGAAGCAAGCCCCAGCACTGTCAAAGAGAAGGAAGAAAGGGTTAGGATGAATCTGTCTGTTTTCCAAAGATGTATGTACGTGATTTATCAACATCTTAAGTCCTCCATGGCAGTATCTGGCTTTGCTGGTAATCTATAAGAAAATAGCTTCCTTTCCAGCTTGTTTAATGTTAAATCTTAGTTTTAGCAGAACGTATGTTCTATTTCAGCTCTTACTAATCCTTTCCCCCGATCTGGAAATCTCTTTATGAATATAAAAGCAGGGTTAGATATAATCAGCCTGTGTACAGGTTTTCATTGCTCAATACAGTCAATTTGTTCCCTTCCAGGGAGAGTTAAAATAATCTTGCATTCCT